TAATCGATCGACTGGACTCCGACAAGAGTTCCGAACGGTATTACCCGCAGTTGCGGAACATCGTCGACAAAGTGGTGTCTCACGCGCAAGATTTCGAGTCGTTGCTCGCAATGGTAGCCGTCTTGCTTCCGTATCCGTCGTTTGTCCGTGACGCGTGCGCCTCGCGACGATAACTGGTAACGCGTCCGTCTTTCAGGATAACTTTCTACCTCTGATCGACCTGTTTCGCAAGGAGAGCGTCAAAGTGGAAGTGTGCAAGACCGTCGTCGAAGCTGTCGGCGTTCGAACCGGCCCCGTTACCGATCCTATCGTCGTCAACGCTCTCATGTTCGTCGCTAGGATAATGCACGATTCTGTCAGGTACGTCCGTCGCGTCGTCCGTACGCCTGTAACCACCTGCTAACGGCGAGCCGATTTCAGCGCTCTCACCGTCGAGGATGAAAAGCGTCAGATTGGCCAACTCGTCTGCGGTTTGGTTCAACGCGTCGATCACGGTCGCGATTTCGAGAAGCAACTCAATTTCTACGTCGAAGCTAGGGCTGCCTTTCCCAATCTCGACAGCGTTCACGTGCAACTCGTGCAGGTAATTGCTAGCCTCCTTCCTACCCGACGAGCTTTCTTTTTTCTTTCCCTTATTCTCGTTTGCGAGATGCGCCATTGAGATTCTTCTCCGTGCACGCAGTGCGTCAACAGACTGTCGGTCGACGCTCGAAACATCGTTCGTGGACATCACACGAGAAGAACGTCGGCCTTTGTCCGTGCTTGCGCTGCGTTCTCTTTCATTACCATTCCGTCGCTGACTCTGGTTTACACGCGGTTGCAGTTGTACCTGCTCTCGGGCCAAGTTGCGCTCTTGAATCAATGCTTGGGCCAAGGTAATCGATCGATCGATCGATCGATCCGATTCGCGTCGAGAGACGATCGCGCCAACCCTGACTAAAGAAAGATTACGTTTCGTTAGCCGACGCGTGTTTCAAGGCTGCCTTGAGCTTGCTTCCGGAAATGCCCAAAACCATGGACGTCGATGGAAGACGGAAAAGCTCGCAACCTTACTTGCTCTCGTACTTGTCCAACTTTTTGTCGACGTTGCTCGTCGTACCGGTACGTACGCCTCGCTTCCCGCTCATTGACAGACTCGTAACGTTGCGACGGCGAATTACAGGACAGCCCGGAACACGGAGTTTTGTATCTAACGCGAGGTTTGCTCAACGCCGTTCAACGATGCTTCGAAGAAAATACCTCGACCAAGACGCACTTGTATCTGCGCGTGCTCGACTTGTTGTCGACGATCGTTCAAGAGAGTTATCCGTACCACGTTGAGAAGGTGAGAAAACGAACGTCCGACGAAAACGCAAATGCGCGACGGAATTTTATAAATGTCTGTCTCTCTCTCGCGTTCGCAGGTCGATTCCAACGACAAGTTGTACGGATCCGATCGAAAATTCGTAAGCGAGGTCGACAAGATCAGCTCGAGAATCGTGGAAGAAATCTTATCCCATTTGAGGTATCTCGGCTCCACCGATCAATCCGAGAAGCAAGCGGCGCTCGCCTTGGAACTTTTCGACTGCTTCGTCGTTAGAGCGGATTTGCGCGATCCGCGATTGGCCCGCGTAGCTGTCAATTTGTGGAACTTGTCCGTGCGACGTGGTTTCGTAGATTCCAGAGTCAAGGTAAAAACAGTCGCTCGCCTCGACGAGGCGTGCTCGTCCGACCTTGCGTTACGACCGAACTTTTCTAATCTCCTTTTCTCTCTTTCTTTCAGATGAAAACGATGGCTTACATGGTGCAGAAAAGTCACCGCGAGGAGTACCGACATTTTGCGGACGTGTTGAAAAAGATGTCGAAATGAATATACACGCGAAAACATGCGTACGTTCCGAAACCTCTTTGCTTCGTTTCTTTTCGGGTCGTACTCGACGCCGCGTTACGGATGCCGAGTACGACTCCGAGGAATGACAATGTCCAACTCTGACGCGTCGTGATGTATTGTCAAACTTTTTACGTATTGCGAGTAATTTTTACGTACATCGATCGTATCGCGTATCGCGCGACGATCCGTGTAACGATGTAAACTTCGTACGCGTAGTAATCTCTTTTTATGGAAGACTCGATCGATTTGGAAGCCCCGAGGAACGCGTTCCGGCAGGAACGCACGTAGGATCGTCTCTCTCCCTCCTTAAAACCGTTGTTGCTTCAATACGGATCGAAGAGCGTCCAAGAATATATCTGCGTGCTGTTCCGTAAACGTCAAGGCGGGTCTCAACCTTATCGCCGCGGTTCCACAGCCACCGACTTGAATACCTGTTTGTTCGGACAATTACGTCTTCGTTGTATCTCGTATTCGCGTGTTCGCGTGTATCGATCGCTGACCGTTCTCGATTCCGAGACGAGTCGCGATCGACGGACGCCCGTTAATCGTGGATGAACATCGTACCTTTGCTCAAAAGTTTCTTGATCACGGCGTCCCGTAGTTCGGACGAGACGCAGTTGAACGCGATGAACGTTCCACGTCCGCGCGTCGAATTCATGATGGTGGAAAATTCGTCTTGCAAACTGGTCAATTGTTTCAACGTGTAGTCGCCGACGGTGGTGACTCTGTGCAAAAGATTCTCCTTCCTTATCGTCTCCAGTACCGCTTCCAGCAGTATCACTTTACCGGGATCTCCCATCCAGGTGTTGAACACGCGATAAGACTGCTTCGGCCTGTAAGAGTGAGACTTTCGTTTGACGGAAGACGGAGAACGCGAGGGACGACGCGTTCCGGGAGGGGGAGAACCTTCGTTACCTCAAGGATTCGACGTGATAGTAGCCACCCAATTGCATCTTTTTGCTAAAGGTCACCAAGTCCGGAGGAGAGTCTAGATCGAAGTGTTCGTAACACCACATTTTCCCCGTTGGACCGCCTCCGGTTTGCACCTCGTCGATCAACAATGCCGCGCCATGCTGAAACGATACGATGCCGGTGATGCCGCGTGTTTCAAAGTTCCGAGTAACGAGTAACGAGTAACGAGTAACGAGTAACTTTGATCGTCGGAAACTCGATTCTACCGATCGATAAAATCGGTGGTACCTTTTTCGTTATGCGCTGCAATTCTTGAAAAAATTCGGGAGACGCGTGATTGTCGCCACCTTCCGCTTGAATCGGTTCGACGATTACACCGGCAACCGGCATTCTCTTCTCCGTTTTGTACTTTTCCAACAACTCGTCCACCTGCGTGCGTACGGCGTGAAACGGTCGGTAAAGTGAAGATTCGACCGACTACGACTACTACTCGTGCCTACGACGATCGAACGTGTACGTACTTGGGCTAAGCATCGTTCGTCTTCTTGCCGATTCTCTCGAACGTTTTCGTTCAACGGATACTTGTAAGCGGGAAACGACGCGGTCGGCCAATCGAACGCTGGAATGTCCATCTTGTGAATGTATTTGCTGTGCGTCGTCGAGAGAGATCCCAATGTTCGTCCGTGAAACGCGCCTGTCGTTCCAACGTGCAAATGTCATTGCGCTTCTTCCGCCGATCGTCGATTGCAAAAAGGCGAGTGGAAAACGCGTGCGATGGTTGCACGACCACTTACCTTGGAACGAGAGTATCGAGAATCGCGGAGTACCGGGAACTTGATTCGTCATGCAACTTTCCATTTCTTCTTTCGTGAACGGAGCGCCGTTTCTTCGTTTTTCAGCGTACCAGATGAAAATTGTCTTGAATGCGTTCTCGTTGGAGCAAGAGCCGCACATCATAGTCGTCGCGTGAGATAATCCCGGTGGGGCGATCTGTGCGTGATGCGATAAATATATCTGTGCTGTGCGAGACGCGTGATCGCTGCCACTTTGTTCACGCTACTTACGCGCACGTACCTCTTTGTGCAGCAAAATTTTCCTCAACTTCTCGGGCCAATCTTTCCCAGGAAAAACACCCAACGCCGGCCTGTTTGCTATAATTTTCTGGTAAAAAAATGTAAATCGATGTTACGCGTATTCGTCGTTTGACGCGCGATGCGATCCTTTTACGATCGTTGTACGATTGTCGCGCGTGATTGCGTGGATGACGTTTCAACGACTTGTTCGTCGACTCGTCGACTCGTCGACCGATACTTTCCGTCGATTCGTTCTGTATCTTTTCTACGCGTGAAACGTTTCGTTTTCGCTCGATCGTACCAACGTGCGAGATAACGTGAATGTTTTCGTCTCGAGCTGCAACGCCACGAGTTCGAGGACATTTCCGTTTACCTGATTAACCGGATCTGCCAGAGCTCTTAACACAGCTGGATGATTGTAGCCGAGGGGCATCGATGAAATTTGCATGTAAACGTCGAGCAGAGCGTTCCCGTCGATGTCCACGATGTAGTTGCCGACCGATTTTTCGTAGTCTGCGAAGAATTGTACGGAAGCAGCTTGCTGCGGTCGCCGTGATTTCAACATGTAACAACGTGTAACCCGTTTCATCTCTGGCATACGTGTTTGGAGAGCGGATTAAATGTTACGAATACGAGAAACGTTTTCTCGCGCTCCAACGTAACGTAACTTGTCGGATCTGTTTCCGAAAAAGATACGTTCTTCGTTGCGTCGGTCGATTCCAAGTTTCTCCGACGAATCCACCGACGCAATAAATAACAACGATCGAATAGAAAAGAAAGATTCCGAATCTTTCTTTCCAGTTGATCGCACGGATCTTTGAAAACTGACGAATTTTTACGATTACGAGGAAACGTACTTGCATCGAATTCAGTTCCTGGAATAAACTGCGTGATCGAGGTCCTGGTATTTCCGTCGTTACCACTGGCTTTTTCGGCTCCTCCGCTGAAGATACGCTTAGCCATCTCTTCCAAGAGATTGCACGCCCTGCACGTCAATCGATGAACGAGTCGTTTTTAATTTACTTTTAACAAATCCTAAATACGTGTATTTGCGTGCATGGAACGTGATATACGCGCGCGCGCGCGCGCGTGTGTGTAACACGTACGCGAGAAATGAGCGTAAAACAGTCGAAAGAGGTATGCGTACGCGTAGGACGTAGACGGGACGGGACGGGACGGGACAGGACGGGACGGGATAACGTCTATCTTTCCTTTGTTTTATTTCTTTTCTTTTCTTTCTTTTTCGCAGATACTAACGTTACTCGCTTACCGACGAATAAATCTCTTTGTCGCTCGTGTCGTGTCTTCCAAGTGCGTGTTAATTTTTTCCTTAAACTTTTTTTACTTTCGTATCCTTCGACCGGAATCTTTTCCTTCGTGCGAATTACAGCTTTTGTTCGATTCCAACGCTCTGAACGTTTTCGATGTACTCTCGCGTGTCGTTTGGAAAGCTCGTCGTCAAAGTTTTTCCAACGCGAGATCTGTATATATCCGTGTTCCGCGCGGAGTAAAATGCCTTTTGTTCGAGCTTTGATCGAACGGTGAGACGTCGTGCTTTGTTCCCGATACGATTTCTTTCGAAACTTGACTTTGCTCGCGTCGTGTTCGGAACCCTCGATTTAATAGATCGAGCGTTTAGTTTCATTGATGCCAGTTACGAGTAATTGGTGTCGCGTCAACGTACGTGCGTGCACGTTTGTTCCAACGCGTTTACGTTTACGTACGTACGCTCTCGGCATCGCACTCGACTCGATGTTTCCTTCGTATATTTCGTATTTCCTCGCACACGCGCGTCTCTCCCTTTCTCAACGACCGTCGTCTCGAAATTTTCGTGCAATTTCGCCACGACGATAACTCGCGAGTTTGTCGGATCGCTGTTATCGCGTTACGATTAATTTCTGACTTTTGCGATCGCTGCTGTCGCGCAACTGAGAGCGATAAGTTTTTATATCGTGTATCGTCGAAAATTTCAAACCCGTCGAATGTATATCGCGTTTGGACGATTATGCTCTGGAACGTCAACAGCCGGAACGACGAGTATCGCGTGTGTAAATTGTAACAACGACTGGCGATATTACTTTATCGCTCGATTTTCTTACGTTTGTAGCTGCTGTACGACCGAATAACCTAATAAATACTTTTCAAATTGTTATTTCCTTTTCTCGTTCTTGTCTTTTTACGACCGTTTGCATTGGCCAGATCACGTGTTGTTTCTCCTTATCGTCTCGCGGAATTTTCCGTACTAATTCGGTTGAAAATTTTCAATCGAACGATACTCGCGCCTTTGGAATTTATTTCTCGAAATACAAAGCTCTCTCTCTCTCTCTCTCTCTCTC